GTCACGCCCCGAGCCTACACCCTGGACGTGGCCGGCACTCGAAGACCATTGCTGGCCCCAAGCAAACCCTTGGCCTAGCTTTCTTAACTTAGCGGAAACCTAACTCAACAGAATAACTCCATGCAATGCAAGGACATAAAACAACTTAACTGATAAAATCTGGCCTAAAAGGCAACTCGAGTCCCAAAATAGAATATTTACATATATACATAGATGAGAGACTCAAAACTAACTAACTGACTGATTGTCTGTCTATGAAGCCTATATAATATGTTGGGACAGACTCCGCAACATCCTAATAAAACAAAATTAAGAGAACAAAATAACCGAGTCCTCTGAAATGCAAAGAGGCTCACCACTGACTCTGGAGTGCTCAGTTGGATCAACGGCGTGCTGGATGCTGATCCTGGGTACCTGTGTCTGCATCGTCATAAGATGCAGGCCAACTAGCATCAATACATTGAATGTACGAGTATGCGAGCTGGAAAACTAAGCAACATAGGATAGAAGGTCATCTGGAAGAAACAGAAAATATTACCTGGCTCAACTCAACTCAACCTGACTGCTTCTTTCAATATAAGGCAATTTAAAACAAGTGCATTATAAAGAAAAGCTGTTTAAAACCTGCTATAAACTCTGTGTGTATACAAAGATACAATAAGCCTGAGATGTATATAGAAATACAATTGAACTGATGTCTATAAAAATACAATAATTTCTGTGGGAGTTTCTCTAACTGACAACCATCACATAAGAGCTATAGTGATGATACATCGATCAACCTCACGCTGCCAAACCATCCTGTACCCGGCCAAATGTATAGGACCTGAATTGCCTAATGGATCAACTAGTCTAATTTGAAAAGGATTCATCTAAAAAATATGAACCTCTTCTACCCATGATGGCTACATAGTTCTGTGGGGGCTGTGGGTTCTTTGAACGCTCCCCCAACTCGGTGCTCAATACTACTCCCAAAATGTACTGGCTCTTATGTTTTAAACATTTTCTTCCTGCTGATTTGAGATAATTACTCAAAACTTAGCTCAAAGGCTATCTTGGAAATCTCAGTTTCCTCTCTTGCTTCATTTAGAAAGCGATAACTCATTTTTTCTGGAAAGCTAGCCCGAAGGCTCTTTGGAAATCTCAGTTTCCAATCTTGTTTAAATGTGAAAACATTTCTTTAAAACTTCTTTGGGAATACTTAGTTCCCTAATAACTTTTGAGAAATGAACTCAACTTTATACTCTTGGCTCAACTTGAAACTCTATACTCCTTACTTAACTTGAAACTCCAGCCTTAAAATGAAGTTAAAACGTTCAATAAAGACTCTTGAACAACTTAAAGACTTGCTTGGACGTACTTCTTAACTTCTAAGATTGACTCTAACTTCACTTGACTGTGATCCAAACTTTCCTCGAATTGGATTATGAATTCAAGGGTAATGATCTCATGTTAATGGATGAGTTCGGGATGTCTAGATGTACCTTAGAGTGTTGAAAACAACTATAAAACATAGGTACATTACCAAGGAACATGTATGAAAAACTGGGGAA